CCCCCCCCCAAATTTCTCCATGCGGCCAGGTTGGGGCTAGGCTAGTCCCCCTTCCTCTCTGCAGGGCCAGGTCATGTCCCTCTGTCCTGCTTCCCCTACCCTTTTGTGTGTGCAGTGGGGAAAGGGGGTGAAGCCCCTTTCCTTCCCCCTCCACCTTTGCAGGGCCAGACTCACCCCGGCCAGACTCACCCCTGCCATCCACTTTGACCTGTGGTCAGACCAGGCAGTTCCCATCTGGCCCATGGGGGGAAAAAGGTTGAGCACTAGGGGCTCAGGAACAGACAAAGGGAGAGAAGCAAGGGTCCCATTTAGAGTCAAGGGAACATAAACAGGTGAATCAGGAAACTGAGGCCTGTAAGCGACTGGGTTAGGGCACCCTGGGAGGAACCACAGTGCAGGGTAGGGTTGGGTGATGCAGTCAGAAACAGGAGGCAGGCATCCAGGCTAGGGTTACTAGCCAGGGAGTTGCAGAATGAGCATCTCTAGTTATACAGGACCAGAACATGGGTAGTCATCAAACTAAACCAGGGGCCAGCTGTCAGAGGATGGGATCTGGAGCACAAGGGGGCAAGGACCCAGCAAGACAGTTTGAGGTCCAGGCTGGCATCTAGAACAAGAAACCAACAGACAAAAACCAGGAACAAGAATGAAGTCAGTAAGCAGGACTTGGGGAACAGGAAACCAGGAATACACACGGAAAACTCTAGGAACTAAATGCATTTTTTACACATGTATGCACCACAGTGCTGGACACTTTGAAAAGTACCCGGTGCTGCACCACTTGCAGTTGTTTAAGTGGCAAAATGCTTATCAGTGCTGAGAAAATGGCAGTGGCATGGTTTTGAACTAAAACACCTTGGATGTGCTGTAGTTCAAAAGTGTACCACCTCCATTTTCTGCGCCCTGATGTGCGTTTTGCCACTTATACAACTGCATGCGGCGCAGCACAGTTTGCCTCGGCCCACGTGCAGAGCAGACTCATTTAATCTAGTCTGCTCCAAAGTGGCAGATCTCCGGCATGCTATGGGGAAAAAAGTATGTGTATAAGTGCCCTAAAAGGCAGGACCCGAAGATTGTGAAACTAGGAATTGACAGGTAGGACCCAGGAAACTAAGGAGTCAGAAGCCCATGGCTGTTCTAAGTAGCCTACTGAGCACTGACAGGGCTGCTCTTATAAGCAGGCAGGCATGCTCATCCTGGGAACTGTAGTCAGCTCAGGGTAGTTAGGCCATGGGCAGCCAGGTCCACTTGGTAATGATGGCCGGCTGAGGGCAGCTGAGTCTGTTTGCTGCCTTGACTCCTAACAAGAAAGTGGTCATCTAGTCCAACCCTCTGTATGAAAGCAGGATAATCTATTCATAAGCCTTTGCAATATGCACTTGAGTACTAGAAACTCTCCATGCTGAATGCCTGCCTTACTCCCTGTATGTTTCAACTGTTTCCTCCCCTCAGGTGAAACCCCTCCTGCAGGTCAGCAGGCAGGAAGAGGAGATGATGGCCAAGGAAGAAGAGCTGGTGAAGGTCAAGGAGAAACAGTTGGCTGCAGAAAACAGACTGAGTGAGATGGAAACCCTCCAAACACAGGTGAGTTGCAGAACCTCTTGTATAAAAGTTATGTGTTTTAACCAGTCAAACTGCTAGATAGCTATTCCATCCTTTTGCTGATCCAAGATGCGGAGACTACAGGATTCTTGCTTTCCAACGTATGTAGGCTAGTTGTTTTGTTCCCTTTGCAGATCAGCATGGTATAGTGAACAGCTGTTGCTCTGTTACAGACTTCATTTGAATGAAATTCTCCTTTGGCTGGGTATTGTGGAGAGTCACTGTAATAAAACATGGTCACTAATGGATTCTTTTTGGCTTGGAACATAAAAGGCTTTTCTGTGGCGCTGACATCTATTTGTGTTCCTTCTGTGGGGGTGGAGGAAATCTCCCTCGCTCAAACAGGGTGGTCCCAGGATATCTTTTAAGGGCCCCTGTAACTGTTTGTGGTTATGCTCTGCGAGTTTATGTAGGGGAACAAACCTCAAAGGATGACATTTCTACCTTGGCTTTTGATTAGCAGCAGGAGATTGCTGTGTCTAGGCCTTTTCAGTGCCTGTGTTAACAAGGAAGATCATAGCTAAAAGAATGTTGGGCAAATTAATAGGACAAAAGTAAACTTGCTCAAGGTCCAGGTAATTTGCAGTTTTTCTGGGCTTGTCCTTTGTAGCTAATGGCAGAGAAGATGCAGCTGCAGGAGCAGTTGCAGGCAGAAACTGAACTCTGTGCTGAGGCTGAGGAGATAAGAGCCCGCCTAACTGCCAAGAAACAAGAGCTGGAGGACATCTGTCATGATCTGGAGGCCAGGGTGGAGGAAGAGGAAGAACGGTGTCAACATCTGCAGATTGAGAAGAAGAAAATGCAACAGAACATTCAGGTAATCTCCTGGAATTGACTCCTTTGTGTGTAGGTGAGAAGTTTGGTGAGGACTAGAACACTTATTTAATCTCACTGGGGGGGAAAGAGCACGAATGGTGGGGGCAATAAATAATTATATAGACATAGTGATATGTCAGTTCTCAGACTGGTTCATGGACCACTGATGGTCTGGTAGATTAGTGGTAAGTGGTTCAAACTACACTGGGCCCTCTGCTTTTCAATTAAGAGTTGGATAAGTGTCTAAGACTCCTGGGGGGTTGTCCATGGTGTAATGAAAAAAGGGTTTGGGAGTCACTGGTATAGAAAATAAGGTCTGCTTATATTAGGGATTAATTTGGATCTCTCACTCTTATGTTCCCAAGAAGTCAGCAGATTTTGCCATCTCTGGTGATTTATCAAGAAGACGGTTCTTCTAATTCTAGTGTTTGGGGCCTAATTGACATACATACAGCCATGCAAGATAGTTGCTGCCTTCATACAGCCAATCTAAGCAAGGGTCCATCCAACCATTTTATGAGCAACTATTCAATTACTGTTTCCAAGGAGCCATCTCCCGTGCAAAGTAGTACTGCTGCTTCTGCTAGAGAAGTTCAGTAGATGTACGCCAGGGAATTTACTTGACTTACACCAGTGTACCATGACAATTAGCTACCCAATACTGATTTCTTTTTAAACCCCGAATGCCTCCATAAGGGAGGGACAGATTTGTTGTTCTAAGGCTCCCTTCTGTTTGTACCACAATTCTGGTGCAGGAGTAGTAAGTACTAACCTATCCCATGTTTATGCCTTGGCCTTGGGCAGGAACTGGAGGAGCAACTGGAGGAGGAAGAGAGTGCAAGGCAGAAGCTGCAGCTGGAGAAAGTGACCACTGAGGCCAAGGTGAAGAAATTAGAAGAAGATCTGATCGTTCTGGAAGATCACAATCTCAAACTGGGCAAGGTAAGGATCCCCAGACCATGCAGGGATTAACAACTGTCCTGGTGGATATGGAAGCCCGACTAATGAACTATTCCTGCGGTGGCACAACAAGGAAGGAGCTAAATTCATGACCCAGGCTTCCTGAGGCGAATCCACTCATGAAACTAGCTGCCATTCTTAGCCACTTCCAGATCAATATGCAGAGACTGATGCAGTATTTAACTAGTCTTGATCAAATGTTCCACCTTTTGAGCAGACCTTTGCAGTCCAGTTTCATGCCTGGATGAGCTGTGTGTTGTTTAAATGGCTTGCGACGCTTCAGTTTTGAAAGGACTATGCGATATCAGTCAGCCCTTTTTCAAAATAGGCAGTGTCTGGAATATATTCTCAATCTTGGGACAGGGGGGATACCTTTGTCTTTAACCTATTTCCCTTGTTGATGTGGATTTCCTTCCGGGGGGGGGGGGGGGCCTTTGGTCTAGAAGTCTCCAGCCCCATTCAGTCTTCATTTGAGGCCAGTGAGCACCTGTTCCTTGAGCCCTTCAGTGGGGAGATGGCTAGAAAGCCTAGAATACTCCTGCCCCAGTTCTCCGATCGTCTTCCAGGCCTCCAGAAAGAGTACTTGATCCTTTCAGCTTCTGCTGCTCCTGAACATGAACAGGGATTATGTAGGTGGGGACTGGATCAGGTTTCCTTTCCTGAACTCTGAGAGTGCAGCTTGGCACAATTACGACGACGCTTAACGTTGTCTATGAGCCAAGGGTATGGGGACACAACTCTGCACCCTGCCGTTGGTGCAGAGATCAGGGGAGGGGCACATGCCCCCGCATACTCCTCTACACATCACAAAGGAGACAGCTGGACTTCACGTTGGGGAGACAACAGAATAAATTGTGGAAGCCCAGTGAAGGAGTGTGGGACATCTTTGGCATAAATTAAATGGCATCTGACTTCTAATCCTGATGACTGACATGATAGGCTTACACTGTCCCTGTGTTCTGTTTGCCCTGATACAGTTTTCAGTAGGGCTTTTGGTCACTGAATGATACTGGCATTGGGATACCCCAGGAAAGTCAGGTCAACAACTTCTCCTCATCCAAATCAGACCATGTCTGGGTTTACTTTGTGATGGACATGGTGATAGATGAAAGAATACCTAATTGTTTATGCTTATTTATAAAATGCTCATTATTATAAAAAGGAACCTTTCAAAATTCCTGCACCAAACATGATGCTTTTAAATCCTGCAGGAGAAGAAACTCTTGGAAGATAGAATATCTGAATTCACAACCAACTTGACAGAGGAAGAGGAGAAGTCTAAAAGTCTGGCTAAACTTAAGAACAAGCATGAAGCCATGATCACAGACCTGGAAGGTAGGGAGATTAGCCTGAGAGGGAGTTGTTTACTTGTCATTAAGGTGGCTTGCTATGAATCATAATTGACTAAATTTGATTCATTCTTAGGACTGTGGCCTCATTCCAGTTACCAAGGAGTTAATAACACTGGTACTGTAATGTGTAGGCTATTGATTAGTCTGATGGAACCATTCAGTGACTGGCTAGCTGAAGGTTATTTGCCTTGTCAGCCAAGCTTTGGTCTAAATAAAAATCCTCTGTAAAGCAGCAGACTAATGGAGAAGAGAGACTGGTTCCATTTCTTTTGCTGTGGGAGTATCTGTACTCTTCCACTTCCAGCGGTACCTGTCCACTGGGGTTAGTACAGCTGATCTCCTTCTTAAGGTGGCTCAGACTGTAGGCTTAAAGGTGCTTTACTTCTGACTGGCCTTGATAACACAGCATGGGACAGTCCATTCTCTGCAGAGGGAGGGAAGCCGTTGCAGGACATCAGTTGGGAGGAGCTGGTATTATATTGGATGACCAAGGCAATCTCATAACAGTGGGGAGAGAAAGGAAGGGATGGTTGTAATGTAAGAATTGGATCTGGGATGGTTTTTTTTTCTGTCCTCTTGAGTATGAGATTGGGGGCAATCATTGTACAGGTTATGAGAGCCCATGCTGTGTCCAGCAGCATGGCAGTTTGGCGGACAACCATCGGTTAGAGCAGACGGTCAGTTAAACAGTTCTGCTTCCCCGAGGAGAAGCATCACACGATGCTCCAAGAATGTGTGTCCCTCTTCCCCATCTCTCCTTCAGAGCGCCTGCGTCGTGAAGAAAAGCAGCGGCAGGAGTTGGAGAAGACCCGGAGAAAGCTTGAAGGAGACTCTGGTGATTTGCATGACCAGATTGCTGAGCTGCAGGCTCAGATCGCAGAACTAAAAATGCAGCTGGCCAAGAAGGAAGAGGAGTTACAAGCAGCTCTGGCTAGGTGAGGCCTTGTCTCCAGGGGCACTTCTTCTCATCCTGTGTCACTTCTCATAAAGTAGGGGCCAAACTGATTCTGCAGCTGTTCTAAACTGGTGGATTTGACTACAAAATCCATGCACTTGACACTAACTTTTTCTGGCTGGTTCCTGCCAGAGACCCTACACTATTAGAACATGAATGTTCTTTGCACTGCGAATGTTTCGTTATAGTAGCAGTATGTCAAAGGAGTTTAACATGAGACAACTCTACTGAAAAGACGCAGAAAGCTGCACTGAAAGGGTTGAATTTGTAATGGGGAGGATGGCATAGTACAGAAGTTCCTTTTCTTCTACCTTTTTCCAGTTGGCTTCTCTCCCCCAGTGTGAGTTGGCTAATCTTCCCTCAGTCAATGACAGGTAGAACAAGACTCTAATTGCAGAGCATCAAAGACTGGAAACTGGAGTTTGGCTTCTTGTAGGGCAGTGCAGAGCACTACCATTTCTCCTGCCCACTGCTCTGAAGACAGGCAATCGTTTAGGTTTGTGTATAGTTAAAGCTGCCTCTAATCAAAGGTCTGTGTTGCATGTAGGGTAGAAGAGGAGTCATCCCAGAAGAACATGGCCCTGAAGAAGATCCGTGAGCTGGAATCACAGATCACTGAACTGCAAGAAGATCTGGAGTCTGAGCGAGCAGCCAGGAACAAAGCAGAGAAGCAGAAGCGGGATCTAGGGGAGGAGCTGGAGGCATTGAAAACTGAGTTAGAGGACACACTAGACTCAACAGCTGCACAGCAAGAACTCAGGTAACTACACCATCTTTACCCCAGCTCAGCAATATGTGAGGAGGTAACAGATCTGATGCTCACCACTCTTCACAGCAACTGCAGAGACTTTAAGAAATCAGTGTGCAGTCTCTCACACGATGGTTCCTTTTCTGGTCTGAAAGTCAGTGGTGTCCTAGTTGTACAATGATAAGTCCTTTGCAGACAGTGAAATCTAAAGCGTGAAACATAGTATTTCAGTTGTTGATTTATGCTGGTATTTACAGACTTCAGACTTGAGTAAAGCTGGCTTCTGATAAAAACCAATCCAATAGCATCTCTTCATAGTTTGAGTTTCTAAACTGGTCCTGAGTATCCTCTCCATCAAAGATCTGTTAAGCTGTTGGTGATAGTGCATATACATCTTGTTTGGTCCTGTCTGTTGGTATCCGACTAGAAATTACTCACTTTCACAGATCTAAACGGGAACAGGAGGTAACTCTTCTGAAGAAGACCCTGGACGATGAGGCAAAGACCCATGAGGCACAAATCCAGGAGATGAGGCAGAAACATGCACAGGCTGTGGAGGAGTTGGCAGAGCAGCTAGAACAAACCAAGCGGGTATGTAGAGAGAGGAGCCATGGGGCCATGTTACACAGTCCCTCTGGAACAGTAGCTAGTCTATACATCAAGGGCCAATTCTTAGCACCTCAGAGGAACATAGAAATAACCACTGTGTACTTGTATGCACTGTATATTTCTGTGCACTCCCTACCTACCTCACCCCCATAGGTCAGCTTATACCCTGAAGCATGGTATTTAGTTACCCCTCATATTTCCACTTAATGCTTTGATTTCCTATATGAAAGTTCTCCTTAGCCAGGACAAACTTAATTTCCTTTCACTGATGGCACTGCCTTGCTCTTACTGGACTGCTCAGGGCTTAGTTCGGGAGTCTGAATATTACAGCACTGTTGCTAGGTCTATCTGATTTGTGTTTCATTTCGACTAAGAAAACATTTGCTGCTTTTCAGTGGTTGGGTGCTGAATTCTCACTGATGTAAACTTTCCTGGGAAGCAGTCATGTCCTAGCAGTGAGACGCACACCATTAGCTTCATAGCACAATAAAAAAAACTCACTCCAACTGAAACATCACCATCATATCTAAAATCCTGCTGGCTTTCTTTAATTCCTTTCAGGTAAAAGCGAACCTTGAAAAAGCAAAGCAGACTCTCGAGAGTGACCGTGCCGAGCTATCCAATGAAGTGAAAGTGCTTCTCCAGGGCAAAGGGGACTCTGAGCACAAGCGGAAAAAAGTAGAGACCCAGCTTCAAGAGCTGCAGGTGAAATTTGCAGAGGGCGAGAGAGTACGGACAGAGCTGGCTGAGAAGGTCAACAAACTGCAGGTGAGGGTCATGACTCTTTTTGTCTCCCCTACCCCCAGCACACACCCCAGCTCCTGGGTCAGCACAGAGCTAGGGTAGGCAGGATGGTTGTAAGACGACAAAAGCTGGAGGTTTCTGGCTAAAGGATCTTGTCTTTTTTGCTCAGGGTCAGACTAATGGCCATATTTGGGGGCAGGAAGGAATTTTACCCCATGGTCAGATTGGTATAGGCTGGTGGGGGGTTGTCTTCCTCTGTAGTGGTGGTGGCTTGGCTGTCTACCTAGGATCTCTTGAACGTATATTAACAACCTTTTATAGAAGCAGGATGTTGACTGCTGTGGCTCCCCTGCTTTACCTATGGAAGTTTTAGGGTGTTACATTTTGCATTGTCAGGGTTGACAGGTTAGTTTTTGCTAAGTAGTTAGATAGTGGTTTTGTATAAAATGGTTTGGATAGGAATGATTCTGCCTCCGGCAGGGGGTTAGACTCGATGATCTCTGGAGGTCTCTTCAAGCCCTACTTCTCTATGATTCTGTGACACTTACATCTCTGTCTGGGTTAGTGGATGGCCCCATCTGTTTTCTTAGCCAAATTGGGTCTTTTTTTTTTTAATTCCTCGGTGGTATGTTTGAGTCCCTACGGGAGGCACATATGCTGTGCCCTTTCCAGCAGCTTTGTAAACCCCAGCCCCCATTAAAAGGTGGGGCACAGAGCAGACTTAACCTACCTTGAGCAGGTGTCAGTTGGGTCAGGAATTGATCACTTTGCTATTTGAGGGTGTGAGTCATCTGATATATTAGCATGTCTATTCCACTTGCAGCATACAGAGGGTTTTCCTTTCACAGTGGAGTTCTATTACTCATGGGCTCTCAACCCAGGGTTCACAACAGGATGGGCTATGACTCCTTTCCTGTGCCACGAACTAGAAGGAGATGGTCCTGAAACTTAGAGTCAGAATGTGGAAAAGGCTGAAAATCACTGCCCCCTTCATGAGGAATTAGTGAACAGCTCCCTCCCTCCCACTCAAGAGTGGACACTGTCCACTTCCTTTGTATAGAGCTTGCTAATTGCAAGCTGAGCCTTGCGGGTAGGTAGTAGTCTCGGTATGACAAACGGTGGCACAGAGGAACCAGCATATGTAGTCTTGGGGCAGGTGGGGGTTAAGGAGGGACATCTCAGTTTAGTAGTAGCTCATATTAACTTTGAGTGGCTATGTCAAATCTTGCGTTAACCTGAGCAGCATGAGTGGCCACTGCAGTTCAGGCCACTGTAGGTGAAAGAACTCTTTTGTCCTGCCGTATTGAAGAACTTCACCTCTAGTTCCTTGAGACTCTTAAGACACGAATGTCCTACTTACAGCTGAGAAGGTGGCTTTTCTTGCACCTACAGTTCTCAGACCTACACATCTACCTCCTAGTTAGCTCATTTGCTCTTCTGTTTGATAATTGTCGTGCTTTAACTCTTTTTGTGCAGGTTGAACTGGACAACGTGACAGGCCTTCTGAACCAGTCGGACAGCAAGTCAATCAAATTAGCAAAAGATTTCTCTACTCTGGAGTCACAGCTTCAGGATACACAAGTGAGATGTGGGATCTGCAGGGTGTGGTGTCAGTCATGCTTCTGCTTAACACATCTGGATTGTATATCCAGTATTCACGGCTAATGTAACTTTCAGTTGATGGTCAACTTGAGTAAAATTCATTTGTGTTGATAGCAAAATGCACATATGGTTCTAGGCTTTGTAGGCAGAGGCAGGACATCATGGAGGAAGGAGGTACTGGAGAGAGGGTTCTGACTCGGCCATGTCTAGACTATTGCATTCAGTTTTAGGTGTATCTTTCTTAAAACCCAGGACTAACCAATTAAGGCCTGTTTAGAAGAGCAAATCATTAAAATTTGGAGGTGATCCTCTTATGGAAGGCTTGACTAAGTGGGAAATATGGGGTTCACACCTTAAATTTGCAGTCTCATCTAGGAAAGAGAAGGAATTATTCAGAGATGCACAAGGGGATAGCTATGATGAGGCTGAGGAAGGGGGATAAGCTAAATTGTTTGGTGGTTGACCACAACACCAGTTCAACTGTAGCATAGCCTTCAACTTCTGTTAACAATTTGTCATCTTAGGAAAACTTTTGGTGCATAGTAGAACAACTGTGCTTTGCAGGGAGATGATTCTCATCAACCCCTGTCATCCAGTCCCAATAGTGGCAGCATATTTTAATCCATATTGATGCTGCTATGAGCAGTTCTTAGCTTGTTCTTGGTAATCCTGGGCATTTATACACACATTTTTTGTTCGGTGATGTGCCAGAGATCCACCACTTCTGAGCAGACTCTATTAATCGAGTCTGCTCCGCACGCAAGCTGATGCATGCTGCGCTGCATGCAGTTGTATAAACAGCAAAATGTGCATCAGCGCACAGAAAATGGTGGCCGTGCGCTTTTGAAATAAAGCACTTCCAAGGTGTGTTAGTTCAAAAGTGTGCCACAGCCATTTTCTCAGTGCTAGCACACATTTCACCACTTATACAACTGCAAGTGTCGCAGCACTGGGTGCTTTTCAAAGCTCCTGCTGTGGCACTTGCACATGCAAAAATGCCCACCTGAGCCTAGATGTGAAAAGCTTGTTTATAAGCAAGTTCACACTCTTCAAATGTTTAGTGTTTATGTTTGCCATGAAATTGAGATGGCAGACTATAGATTTTTGCCAGCATAAACTCTGGGAATGGCTTTGAAGATCTGCGCACTCTTCATAGAGAACACCAGAAAGGATTATGAGGGGACTGAGCTGGGAGGCACATGATGGTGTTTGTGCATCCCTTCTGTGTAGTGAAGGAGTGGACTATAACAGACTGAGGGCCCTCTTGGGTGTTCTTTCTCATTCCATACTTGCTGTCTGATAGGCAGGCACTTGAATTCTGTATTTAATTTCTTATCTGTGAAGAAGTGGAGGCTGAAAATGAACCTTTCTAGTCCACAGTGCTAGAAGTGAGATGAAGTTTGTAAAGTTCCTTGGTTTCCCTAAAGGAAAGGTGCTCAATCCCAGCATGGTGTTTTGCACTGTAGGAGCTGTTGCAGGAAGAGACTCGCCAGAAACTGAGCCTCAGCACCAAGCTGAAACAGATGGAGGATGAGAAGAACAGCATCAAAGAGCAGCTAGAAGAGGAAGAGGAGGCAAAGATCAATCTGGAGAAACAGATTTCAGCCCTTCACCAACAGGTATGGAACCGTAACACACAGAAGAGATCTTTCTGTAAAGGGAAAACGCAAGCACAGAGCTCATCCTTAAAACATCTAGTTCATGTAAGGAGTATTGGTATAAGAGGGACCTGTTAACAAAAGAAAGCTTTTACTGGTGGAAACATAGCTGCTGTTTGCAAGCTAAATGTTTTTAGATGTTTGTTGAATAGCTTCCCCTACGGAAACATTTTTTGTGTGTAACCTTGGGGGACCCTACGTATACCACATGCTGAGGAAGTCTGATCTAAAATCATTCCTTTAGAATTAGACTGGTGTATCCCCTCTGGTTTTACTTAATCCCTCGTCTCCTTTTCCATTCTCCAGATAGCAGACATGAAGAAGAAGGTGGATGATGGCCTGGGCTGCTTAGAGATGGTGGAAGAAGCCAAGAAGAAGCTGCAGAAGGACTTGGAAGCTATGAGCCAGCATTATGAGGAGAAGGCAACTGCTTTTGACAAGCTGGAAAAAACAAAGACTCGGCTGCAGCAAGAGCTGGATGACCTCACTGTGGACCTTGATCACCAACGGCAAATAGTCTCCAACCTGGAGAAGAAACAGAAGAAGTTTGATCAGGTAGATTGTCAGTTGTTGCCCCTATAATAAATCCACCTTTTCCCATCACATTCTTACCCAGGGTGCATAAGAATGTGCTCAGTGAATGCATGCTCCTTTCAGAACTATAATGGGGGTAGGATGGGAATATAAAAAAAGAGGTTGCCATTGAAAATTTATTTTGTTTTATGCATGTGAACTCTAGTGTCACCTCATGTCCAGGGGTCTGAAATTTTGAGTTGACCTAATTTGTGTAACTGTTGCTTGGAAGTATTCTTGTCTGTAGCCATCTCTTGGATCTGGCTGTAACTTTGAAGTTTTTGTAGCACCAGAAGCCTAGAGACTTATTCAGTTGGGTTCTAGTCCTAGTGGTGGCCACAGAGTTGGGGACTGTATGCCTGGCTCCAAAGCCATGTTCTCTGCCTATCTTATTCCACTCAGTTGAAAACACTGATTGGAAAAGCATTAGAGGAACAAGGTGAGTTCTTGCTTCTCGGTGATTCTCATAGCCGTTGTGTTTGTCCCCTGTTTAGCTGTTGGCAGAGGAGAAAAACATCTCCGCCAAGTATGCAGAAGAGCGGGACCGTGCTGAAGCAGAAGCACGTGAAAAAGAGACCAAAGCCCTCTCTCTGGCTAGAGCCTTGGAAGAAGCCATGGAGCAGAAGGCAGAGCTGGAACGACTCAATAAGCAATTCCGCACAGAGATGGAGGACCTGATGAGTTCCAAGGACGATGTTGGCAAGAGTGTAAGTATGTTGTCTCATACCAGAATGACCAGCCACATCCCAACTTGTCAGTGAACTTCTGCAAAATCTCGCAGTATGAAAATCACCTGTAGAGGAAGGTTTTTTGGAGTCGAATGAGGCTATCTTCTTATGAATTGGTGAAAAGCAAGAACTAGAGATGAGATTTGTAGGAGCTTGGAAAAATACAAGTTTGGAAGTGGTGAAGTGAAATTTACTGCTTAACGAGGAGAGAGGGAGCAGGTAAGTCTGGCATTTAAAAGATAGGAAGCCAGCCAGAGAGTGGGAAATGGTGACCAAAGTCTAAAGACACTAAAGATTAGTGGTAAGGCCTGGCAGGGTTTGCATAGGAGATGAAAGAGATTTGAATCTTTTTTTTTCTTTTTTTTTTTTTATGTCTTCGCAAAGAAATAAGAGTGTCTCGGGCATCATTGGCCAGATGTGTTTCCCATTTAAAATTTCCCAGGGGACCTGCTTGGTGATGACCTTAGTGGGTGAATGTGGTGTAGAGTAAGGTTTGCATTAATGGTTCTCAAATATGTAAGCAGCTTCCTTTTTAACATGGTTAAGGGCTTTTGTTATGGGGGGCATTATTGTCACAGTGTAGAGAGATGAGGATGGTAGGTAGAAAGGACCATGTCCTTATGTCCTTGTATCTTTTCCTCACTGAGCTGGTAGGTGTATTTGGCTGCCTCTTTGTCCTCAGGATGGGGCAAGTTGTTGACTTTTTAGCTGGGAGACCTAATATGTATTTTTATGCTTCAGGTTCATGAACTGGAGAAGGCTAAGCGAGCCTTGGAACAGCAGGTGGAGGAGATGAAGACTCAGCTGGAAGAGCTGGAGGATGAGCTACAGGCCACAGAAGATGCCAAGCTGCGGCTAGAAGTGAACCAGCAGGCCATGAAAGCACAGTTCGAGCGTGACCTTCAGGGCCGTGATGAACAGAATGAAGAGAAGAGGAAACAGCTGATCAGACAGGTAAAACCAGTTTTGGGGACACTGGAAATTTTGTATGCATAAGAAGTGCTTTATCCTAGGACAGCTGGACTGTGGTGGTGTCATGTTGTTACTGTAGTGGTGTAGCTTATGCCACAAGGCACTTTTGGGTGCAGCAGCTTCCCTGTTTTGTTGTTCCTATACTTGTGTACATTCAAAACTCTCCCTCTCCCTTCCCCTCTCCCACCAGAACATGGATTAGCTTCTTGCATTGTACCTGTATGATTTGGTCCCTTTGGGAGGTGGTCCACGCACATGTGGTGCTTTTACAAACTTTGTTCGATTTCTGCCAACATATTGTTTCTTCTAATAGGTGCGGGAAATGGAGGTGGAGCTAGAAGATGAGAGGAAGCAGCGCTCCATAGCTGTGGCTGCCAGGAAAAAGCTAGAGATGGACCTAAAGGATCTGGAGGGCCAGATAGACTCTGCCAACAAGAACCGTGATGAAGCCATCAAACAGCTCCGCAAAGTTCAGGTAAGACTGTCTCTCTTGTTCCTGCTACCTTTTTATGCACCCTGGCACTACCTCAGAAAAGGAGAGTGGTGATCATGTTGCTCTGATGTGGGTTCTTGATTCTAATTGAGAAATGTAGCCTAACGTGCAGACTTCAATCTGAACAGTATTTTGACCAGGAAGATTCAGCAGTAGCTCAGTTGTTCTTGTAACTAATGCTCTTGTCAGTTCATTAATTGCTCCCTTACTGGAGTTCTAAGGAAAGCCTCCTGTGGGTCTCTGCTTGGACTGTAATATAGTGGGAAGGATGAGGATTCACTCTGTGCCTCTCTTTTTTTTTTTTCCCTTTCCAGGCACAAATGAAGGATTGTATGCGGGAGCTGGATGACACACGTACCTCTAGAGAAGAGATTTTGGCACAGGCCAAAGAGAATGAGAAGAAGATGAAGAATATGGAGGCCGAGATGATCCACATGCAAGAGGTAGTAGAGCCTGCATTGAAGCTGAGGGCCTACTTGCTTCCTTTTTGCCAAAACCTAGGTTTTCAGTGTGACTGTAGACACCAGCTTGATCTGTCGCTCTTAAGCATAGCAATTATTAGGAGTATGAGATTCAGTTTCCCCCCAAAACCGTGGCCTCTACTTGCCACAGGGCAAGGAGGAGTAACTGGCACCCAGGGAGCCATGCTGAAGTAGAGAACACTTGTCCTCTAACTTGTCAGGTAACAGAAACCAGACAGTTTCCACCCGGTACCAGTAACTGCTTCCCTTGGTTTGTGTTGATGGGTAGCTTTACACTGCATTACTGGCAGTCTTCTCTTCATTCTAGGAACTTGCAGCTGCTGAACGTGCCAAGCGCCAAGCCCAGCAAGAGAGGGATGAGCTGGCTGATGAGATTGCCAATAGCAGTGGCAAAGGGTGAGTAAGGAATCCCTTCATTTGGGAAGAGAAGCCGTGCTGTATGTTAAGTGCGTGCCTGTAACCTCTGGGCACATGAAGGACAACAGTAGCTTTGTAAGGGAATAATTGGTAAGATTTTTCCATTGAATCAATTGCACTGATGTCACCAATACTTACTGAGTTCTGATCATATGTCTCTCAGAGCTCTGGCCATGGAGGAGAAGCGACGCCTGGAGGCCCGCATAGCTCAGCTGGAAGAAGAGTTGGAGGAGGAGCAGGGCAACACTGAAATGGTCAATGACCGGCTCAAGAAAGCAAATCTCCAGGTACTTGCCCAGGGTCTGCCCACCAGTAGGAACTCTCTAATGTGTATAAACTCCCAGGCTGACATTAGGGTCTATTACCTGCTGTCTTTTCAGCAAGTACAGATTTCCCAAAGTCCTTTACACAGCAAGGAGTTGGATACAGTGTTCATGTATTGCTGTAGAAAAATTGGAGAAGCTAATCAGTGCTCAGTGAGAACTCACACTTTTTTTTGCAGTCATTAAACCCTCCTTTTTATGAGAGAAGAAAAGTAGGTGGCATTGGAAAGTCTGCAGAAAAGGTGCCATGTCCTAATTTCTGGTGAATTAAGGGGTAACTGAAAGTCCTGATTTGTAAAATCTGGCTGGCCTTTTAGAAGAGTTGCATTATATAGAAAGTTGCTTTTCATTCTTCTGCCAAACGTATTCTCCAAGTATTTAACCAAACTGAGTACATAAAACCAAAACCTAGTCTGAACATTTAATGGCATATTGACCACCTGCCCCTTGACAATTAGGAAAATATCTACCTGATTGAAAAAGTGGTGAACCAAACTGGTAGCTTCCCATGGCTACCACCAAAATAGATTCTTTACTTCAGTGGGCTTATGGCATAAGCTCCACATCATGTTCCTCAAAGGTCATCAGTATAATCCCTGCTACACCATATAGTCATCCTTAACTGTCAGCCAGCATCCTGGGGTACAGATGGCTTTAGCTACTGCTCTCCTTCCCTTGAAAGCTGAGCTCTCCATGCTACTATTGGGGAGCAGACAGGCAAGGTTGCTACTAGTTGTGTGAATCTGGCTCCTTGTCTGGGTGTTCTATAAGAACATTCTTCGTGACCCAGTAATGGTCTGTTTCAGGGCCTTATAGATGTCCATGGCACACATGCCAGCTATACTCAACTACAGGCTAATAAGTAGGGCTGTTCAAAACTTCGGTCCGATTCAGTTTGGCAGAGATTTGGCCCAATTTGGCAGCCAAATCTCCAAATCTGAATCTAATCGGAAGACCCTTTAATCTCTCCAAATCTAACCAGAACACTCCGAATTGGTTCGGAGATTCGGACATAGACACAAGCTTTAAATGTTTTTTCTACATACCTCAAGATAGCAGGTGGCTCATGAATGCTGGGGTGGATGGAGCGTCTCGCAGGAGTGCAGGGGGCTCCCCAGCGTGCTCAGCAGGAGACCTGGAAGCGGACCAGAAGCACTTCTGGGTCCGCCAGGGAGCATGCAGGGGACTCCCATATGGCGCAGCCAGGGCTGCGGGGCGGCACCCAGGTTCCCCCTATGGTCGATCACCAAGCTGGAGGGGCACAGGGGGGGCCCAATGTGCTCCCTAGTGGACCCGGAAGTGGACCAGAAGCACTTCTGGGTCCTCCAGGGAGCATGAAGAGGACTCCCCCGTGGGAGGCCCCCCCCAGGCTTGGTGACGGGTGCCTCCTGGGTCTGGGGGGGGCACCTGGGCTCCCCCCGTGGTCGAACACCAAGCTGGAGGGGCATGGGAGGGGGCCCAGTGTGCTCCCTAGCGGACCTGGAAGTGGACCAGAAGTACTTCTGGTTTACTTCCCGGTTCACCACTGAGCACATGGAGGGCCCCATACTCCTGTGGGACACTCTATCCACCCCAGCATTGCAGTGTTCACAAGCTGCGCCTGGTACCTTGAGGTATCTAGAATAAATATATAAAGCTGTGTCTATGTCTGAATCACTGATTTAATAAATCAAATCACTGCCCCTGATATGGGCTTAATCTAAATCGAATACAGCCCATTTTGCAGACTCCTGCTAACAAGTAGAGACCTACTGAGATCATGATTTTGTGGATCTTGCAAAATGTGGCATTGCTCACAAAATCCACGGGGGAAAAAAAACTTAATGAAAATAAAATGCTGGCTCCCCAGAGGGAGCCAGCATTCCTCAAGGTTTTGCGGCAGCCCACTGGAGTGGGGAATGTGGAAGGGGGAGCTACCCACTTGAAGGGCTGCCAGCAGGATGGCTGCTGCCCCTGCCTCTTGCCACTGATTGGCTGCGAGGGCTACTGCCAAGTGGCCCTGACCCTTTCCACCAGTCAGCAGCAAGGAGCAGGCTGCATGACAGACAGCCCTCACAGCCAGTCACCAGTGATGGGCAGGGCCACCAGGGCCCCTCAGCCAATCAGAGGTGTGGGGGGAGGTCTGCCACGCTCTGCCTGCGAAATGGGCAGGCAGCCACCTCGAATTCGGTAGGTCCCTACTAATAAGTTCCACAGGAGGAGACCCAGTAAACTTAACACTCAATTATTCAACTACAGGAATTCCTTTGAAAACCTAAACAAGCCAAAACTAAGCTTTGTATGAGGTCATCTATCCTAGCTACACAGAGCCTTATGCCCTATGAGACAATGTTAGTAATGCCTGACTTGAACAACATGAGCTGCTCCACTCATGCCATCAGTTCTTCTCTGAAGCCACTGGCATGTTGAAATGGACTCTGGTCTGGACATTTGTATGCTGAGTACCTCTGATCTCCCCAGGTCGACCAGATAAATGCTGACTTGAATGCTGAGCGCAGCAATGCCCAGAAGAATGAGAATGCGCGCCAACAGATGGAGCGCCAGAACAAGGAACTTAAGGTCAAGCTGCAGGAAATGGAAGGCATTATGAAGTCCAAGTACAAGTCCAACATCACGGCTTTGGAAGCAAAGATAGCCCAGCTGGAAGAGCAGCTGGACTCGGAGACCAAGTAGGTCCTAACAGAACATCCCATCATGCCACAGTATACCAACCATGCTGATGTAGTAGTACAGAGCAAGGTTAGCTCCTGAGTCCTGTATGCCAGCCCCTTGGAGTGAGGTCTCCATCCTGGGTGCAAGGAGAGTGGATGCAAGATCTCCACCTTTCCACTCACTCCTGACCTATGAAGCTTTATTCTTCCTGTCCATCGTTGTTTCCATTCCTGTCCACCTACCCATACCTCCTCACCCCAAACCCAGGTAAAGGCTCACACTGAGATTAGCCAGTGTCTGTTGAGCATGTCTGAAAAGGCCTAGTTCCTGTCCTCGTTACCCTGAGGACTTGAAATGGAGCTCTTGTCTCCTTTCATTCCCCTGAGGTGCAGTGACTAGTGGTGGCTTGTTTCTGACCCAAGGGCTTGATCTCAGTGCTTGGGATAATTCCCAGAGGGACACAGTAAATCTCCTATCTTAGCTGACACTATCTCTGAACAGGGAGCGCCAGGCTGCCAGCAAGCAGGTGCGCCGTACCGAGAAGAAGCTGAAGGATATATTGCTGCAGGTGGATGATGAGAGACGCAATGCTGAGCAGTTCAAGGATCAGGTAGGTGCAGTTAACCTTCTTCTGGTCTTGAGCCTAGAGATCTTCCATGATACCCAAAGCCCAGTCTATAACATGGTGGCAAAAGTTTTCCTGTGGACATTTTTTTTTTCTTCCCATTCACTCTGACTGTTAAAGAATGGTACAGTTGAAAGGGTGATGCTTTGAGAACAATTTCTCTTCTTCAGTAACTTCCACATCAAATTTGTGCAGCATGAATGAGAACAAATGTTCTGTAATAGAGTGAGCTCAGCCTGGCCTCCGATCATCCAAATTCTCTGCTACTGATTTATAACTGTGGAGGGTAGATTTTTGGATGGCTTCCTTTCTACTGTGAGAGAATGTAGGCATGTGACACGGGGTGCTGGCCTCCTGAAGGAGCTCAGGCGTGAACTTCTCATTCTCTCGTGATATTTCTGCACTAGAACTGGTGAACACGGAGCAGCAAAAGGAAAGGCTTAATATTAAAATAGGTCTAAGCAACTATCCCCAGGGAGGTGGCAGACCACCCAATTAGGGACTTGGCTTCCTGCCAGTAGAACTGCTAGAGCTCCAACAGAGGAAGGAGGGAATGGGCTTTTTGAAAGTATTTCTCTTTGCTCCTCTTCTGCAGGTAGATAAGTCCCACGTACGCTTGAAGCAGCTGAAGCGCCAGCTTGAGGAAGCAGAGGAAGAGGCCCAGCGAGCCAATGCAGCCCGCAGGAAGCTGCAGCGTGAGCTGGAAGATGCCACTGAAACGGCTGATGCAATGAACAGAGAGGTCAGCTCCCTCAAAAGCAAACTCAGGTAAGGGCAGTCCTCTCCCAGGACTCTGCTCCCAATCCCAGCCCAGCTTGTGTTTTGTTTGAGCTGCAGGAAGAGCCCTCAGTGCTTGGAAGCACATCCAGTAAGAAGTGGGGCTAAAGGCTTTCCTTAGAGCTGTTTTTCTGTAGTGCTTGCGCTGTCTGATAGATTAAACACATTCTGTTCCCTTGACATGCTGCTCCTCCCTTCCTAGGCGCGGGGACCTGCCCTTCGTTGTGCCACGTCGAATGGGCAGGAAGGGTACAGGAGAATGCTCCGATGAAGAAGTGGACGGCAAGGCAGATGCCGGTGATGCCAAAGCTACTGAATAAGTCTTCTCCTTTGACCCAGGTTACACATGGAGTGACCCACCCACCCTCCCCTCTCCCAGTGGACTTCCTGCAAATCCCCTCCTCCTAAAATCTGCCAGGGAATGCAAAGCTCTTCCAGAAAGGGCTCTGTCCCTGGAGCCATTGGGCACCTGTATTCCTCATTTCCTCCTCTTTCCAGCTTCCAAATCCTCTTTGTATTTAATGCCAAAGAGTCGGGGCTCTGAAATCTGACCAGCGGTTTGGCAACTACAAATACCCATAGAACTGTCTGTGCCATAGCTGCTGATGAATCCTTACATGGTTGGAGGGAGAGGGGGTTAGGGTAAGATAATTTTGCTGTAAATCTATGTTTTCTTTGGATCCCAATCCTTGTAGATGCAGGGAAAGTTCCTTCCCCTCTGCTCTCCCTCTTTGCTTTTGGCAATCATGTTCAGTGACCTCAGACCTCTGCCTCTAACCTGCTCACTGAGATGGCTGGGGAGCATTTTCAGGAAATAAGTGAGCTTTGGCCATGGCAGTTCACCCTTTCTTCTTTCTAGAGCCCTACATGCGCACAGAGGGGGAAAAGGGGGAAGCTCCTCTTGGGAACAGCCACCTGGGGGACTTGCCAAAGTGATATCTTTTTTTTTTTTTTTTTTTTTCCTTGTTCTTACTGTCTGGACAGATCTCTGAAGTGCAATGATGTCCTTTTTTTAGTGTCTCTGCCTCAGTCTGAGTGGTTTTGTCTCTGGTAGTGTGGACCAATAGTTAGTGACAGGCAGAAGAAGCAGAAGGCTCTCTTGTTTGTTTGAGAATTTCTTGGGGACCAAATATATTTAATGGTATCAGACTGAATCTAGGAGAATTTAATGGCAGGGGGGGGGGGGGAATCCTTTTTTTTTTTTTTTTTTTTTTTTTTGACATGTCCAAGCCTCTTGTACTTGCTCTGTAACCCGGGGTTGGGGTTAGTTATTCTGCACCATTGACTAAGAGTATATTAAAAACCCGTTAATCTGCACAGATACATGTAAAAGGCCTTTATATCTCACATAATAAGTAATTAAGAAAAAAATAAAGGTCTTTATCACTGCCTTTCTATTGGGACCGTGGTTATATAGAGATAGTCTTTACTTTTCTACACTGTACACTGGTTGCTGGATTTACCTGTATTCTTAACCATGTTGTATATGCTGCATTTAGACTTACCTATGAGCAAAGTAAAAAATATGAAGCTCCATACTGTATGCCTGAAAGCGCTCTAAATGCAGGAGCCTCGCGTCCCAATCGCTGTCACACAAAATTTAAAATCTTTTTTTTTATATAATAAAAGTGCCTTAGCATGTGCCTCAGCTGTGTGTCACCATTACAGTCAGTACTGGTTTACTGGTGCTCCACTGATGTTACCAATAAAGATTATCCATGTGCTGCAGTCTGGGTGTGTGCTTGTGTTGTTCCCTCTTCCCTGAATCCAGTAGGAAAATACACAAGGGGGTAAGAACATAAGATATGCTATGCCAGCAGGTCCATCTAGCCTAGTAGTCCTGCCTCTTGGCAGCAGAGAGTGGATGCTAAGGGGAAGAACGTTTTTAAGGCATATCCAGAATTGCCCATCAGCCTCTGCCTCCACAGCTTTCAGCATTCAGAGGCCTGGGACGTCCTTATTTTTGAGGTCGCACCTCTATCATTGTCAATACCCAGTAATGGACCTGTTCTGGAAAGATGTTGAATAGACCCAAATAGTTTGTCAATCATGGCAGGCAAAATATGGTAACTAACATATTCCATGTAGCTCTTGATGCAGCTAGACACCAAACACGCATGAAGCCTGTAGAAGTTACCCTGAAAGTTTTTTTTTTTTTTTTTTTTTTTATCTTCCTCTTACAATGTAGATGGTGCTCCTTTTAAAATTCCAATCTTACCTGCTCCTGTGTTGTTCCACTAAATGCCAAAGGGTTAAGTTTAGATAAAAGAACCTGCAGTGGGACACTGTGGAAGAGACTGCCTTACATCCTCAACTGAACCAAACCGACCGGCTGCTGTTGCTGAATCAAGAAGTATCTCTTGTTCACCACCAGGTGGCATTTTGAGATATCTGCTGCTACAAGGAGATAAGGATCTAATAGGGAAGCAACCCTACAATGGGTAAAACAAGTAACACTGAGAAAGCAGCTGTACATTTTTGTCTGGGCACAAGAGTAGGGCCCAAGAGGGGATTGGAATTGGACTCTTGTCTACACGAGCTGACAAAAAGGGAGAGGTAATCCACAGTAGATAAACTCTTGGGGCAGGGGAGTGAGTGCAGGACTGAATGGGAAAGGTATGTGCAGCTGAAAGATCCCCATAAGTTGCTGCAGTAGTGGGCACAATCCCATTCAAGTGATCGGTACCAACTGAAAACTAATTTCTACATTAACTTATAGATTGCAGGCCTCCCCATTATAAAGCAAAATGCTATCTACTGCTTGTCTGGTGGGTGGAGAATTTTCTTTGCATTTAAAAATAAGTTGAATGCAGATAGTGAACTTGCATTGGAGCCCTGTATGAAATGATGCAAGTCATGCAGGAAATAGTGAATGCATTGCTGAAGTGTTGAAATGGTTTGCTCAAAAAAAATATATATCCAGCCTCTCTCTTTAAATAGATAGATTAGATAGATATAGAGAGAGGCTGGATCACCCACTGTTGTGGTTCAGTGGTACAATACTTGTCTGCCACACATGAGACCCAGGTTCAATTCCCAGGTGTATATGTCACTATAGCTGTTAAGGTACCAAACACCTGGCCTTGATCTGGCCTTTGGATTCTGACTCAATGGTCTAAAGGGGGATGGAAGGTCTAGACACCCTTCACTCCTGCCTAGGCATACGCATCAAAGGTCCTGGTGACCTTGCATGCATATGCCATGATCCAGAAGGATCGACAGTTGCCTACTACTATATGCTGGATCAGACTTTCTCAAATGTAATGAATATTTACTTAATCTGAGCAGGCATCTCCTCTGAGATTGCAGAAAGGACATGTTTGTCTAACTACTTGCAAGGCAAGCTTTGCAGCATGTGTGTGACTGACTTGATTTTACCAGCGTCTCACATGCAATGTTAACACCAAGATTTTAATCACTTTGCATAATGCAATCTGGGAATGTACTTGTTCAAATACATGGTGCTGGCCTTCATGCAAATTATCACTGCAAAAGCAAATGTACATAGCTGTGCAAACCATGTGCCCTTAAAGTGACTTTGAAATATGCACTCAGAGCTTGAGTTCATCGTGAAATTAGAGCACTAGCCTGGGAAAATAGCGGAGTCTCTGGTCTCAGGATGGTCAGACTCAGTGCATCTTAGCTTGGTGCCTGGGCAGAAGCCACCTTAACACCATGGAATGGCATAAAGCAGGCTGTTTCCTCAGTTTTGCAGCCAGGATAGCATTCCTCTCCTGAACATGAACACTGATCTGCTGCCAGTTTGGAGGAGTTGCTGGATATGTCCCAGACTTTGCATGTACTGTTGTGTATGACTTGGCATGTTTCATAGAGGTTGCTCTTTGTGTTCTTGTGCATCCTGGAAGGATGCCTTCCCCTACCTCTGTTCAAACAACTCCTCCAGCCTTTCCCCTAGTTGTGAGCTGGTGTTCAAAGGAGCAGGTTTTAACTCTTGATCAACAAGGTTGTGTTTTTTTTCCCCCTTGTATGTACTGAACCTTGTACCATGTAACCTTGATCTAATTAACTGTGGGTTGGTTACACTCCTTTGGCCTGTGCAGACTGCAGTTTGCTACCTATGGAATTGCTAGAGGCATTTAATGGTGCCTTTACAGGGCTGTAGCTGTACCCAAGAGATATTTTGTTATGAAGATCTCTTATCTTTTTCTCTGGAAAATTCAACTCGCCAGTCCCTGAAAAGAGGCTGATTTACCTAAAAATACCAAGTGGGGTGGTGATACTTGTGTTAATGCCAAGTGTAGAGGGAGCTATGACTAGTGCCAGACCCTGTCAAAATACCTTCCTGTTAAGTGAACCTCTGTACTTATGAAAGTGGAGATTCCCTTTGGAGCAGGGAATCCATTACCCAAAAGGATACTCCTCACCCCCAGTCTCCACTGCAAAGGAATTGGAGCTGCTTAGACAGTTTGCTGTTGGCCACATGGAGATTATGGGATTCCAGTGAACTGAAGTTGTTACAACTAAATGCAAACACCAGAAGCCTGTTTCTCTTCCATCTCTAGACTTCACAGGAAAAACTATTTTTCTTCCTTGAGGGAAGGAGTGGAACTGACCCCTACAGCTGACGACTCGGTGGATGTTTACAAGTGTGGTCGCTGCTTTAGCACTGCAATAAGCAAAAATGGTGTGGACAGAAAATCAATGACTGAGCCAAGTCTGTGTGGAGCAAGGCCAATGCTAGAAATCCAGTGCAGGAGATTTGCCTGCTACCTGTGTGGTCAGGCCTCTCTTCATCTGTATTGGGAAATGTTAGGGCTTGTCTGTACAGGGAACTGGGGAAAGCTGAAGACTTCTGAAAAACTGAAGAAAGTGCAGAACTCTCTGGGAAAGGGATTTAGGTGGGGAATTGAAACAACTCTCATCTCCTCCCTATAATGCCTTTCACTCTTGTGTATCGTAGTAGATTAAGAGAGCTTTCCCTTAGTCCTAATCTAAGACAGTGGTTCTCAGCCAGTCCTAATCTAAACCAGTGGTTCTCATACCAGGACGTATTTGTAAACACCAATGGCCAGTGCCCCCCAGCTTCCCAATATATAGGGCAGAGGGTGGGTGTGGGGGGGCAGAATGGGAGGGGAGGTGTAAGAGGGGGGCAAACAGCTCCTCGCAGGCTGGAGCTCTACCAGCCTGCAAGGGAAAAAACAGTTTCCCACTTTTTTCTCCATTAACAGAGAATCCACATTGAAAGATGGTTGATCCATTTTTAAAGTTTGTTCGCAACCTTTTCATATATTCTTGTGACCCACGGGTTGAAAAACACTGGTCTAAACCACAGATACAAGTGACGTGACGCTAGGCCTGTGATGTTCGAGTGACACATGCCTCCGAATGGCATGTATGCAAGGGGGGAGGGGAAAGGATGATCTTTGAAAGTCTCAGCACAAATCTTGTGTTGGGGATGGGGTGGGAGGAAATGAATGCCAAGACAAAGCAGTCTACTGTGATCTGCAGCAAGACTACAGGCTGCACACACACATACTTGCTGCCTAACTGGAGATCTGTAAGGGATCCCGCCTGGGCAGGTTTGAAGTGTACCATTTGCTTCTGCCAGCTAATGCTGCAGTCTAGGAATGTCTGTGGGCCCAGGGAGGCTTGTAGTACTAACCACTGAGTGTTCCCCCTCCACTGTCCCTTTTAGACCCTAACAGCTATGAAACTGTAGCATAGCCTGGAACGCCCTCCGTGTTGATCACTAGGAAGGGCCTAGGCTCCCCCCACCCTTTGGAAACCCTATCCTTCTGTATTTGCTTCCTAGCCACAGTACAGCTGGTTTCCAGATGTCCTCCTCCTTCCTCAGCTTGATGCTCTTTGTTCTTTACAGAATTGCCCAGAGGCACTGCAAACAAGGCCAGGTCCCGCCTTGTGGCAGCTGCCCTGCACATGCATGACAGACAATGGGGCATTGTTTTAAACATTCAGTGATGCTTGTCCTAGAGGTGACTGTTCTCCAGGCCATGGCAGTATCGGGTGTGCTGGGGGCTGCTCCTGTTGCCCACGTTGTTGTTCTGGAAGGGGTTGAGGACTCTGAGCCTCCTGTGTAGCTCTCTGCAGCCTTGCCAGACAAGAGAGTATGGACAGTTTTTAACTCGGGAGCAGCCTGTCTTTGTTTGCTCTGGCACCTGGCATAGAGCTTTACAGCAGACGAATGCCAGCCCTGCTTTAGCCTCTTTAGCCAGGTCACCCTAGCTTCAGCATAGAATTGGATGGAGGCACTGGGAAGCACTGAAGGGACTGTGTGGTGCCAGGGAAAACACTTTGCTTCAGAACAGAAAGGGGTCCGTGGCCGCAATTGGAGAGGGACCAACAGGGTTCCTGGCCATGGCCCTGTGGATCTTGGTTTAGCAGCTGACTGCACCTCTTGGTTTAGTAGCTGACTGCGGTGGATGGAGCTACAGTCGATCATGTAGAAGGCCATCCAGTCTCAAGGTAAACCACCAAAGTGATGGGCAATCCACTATGTCTCTGGAATAGTTGTACTAATGAGTAGAACTGGATGGAAAAATTTGAATTGAATGCAATTTGTAAAAATTCTTGGTTTAGCAACTGACTCTGTAGCACTTTAGTAGCTATAAGTTCTTTACCATAGTGGTACCCCTGCTCCATGCCCATCACCACAAAGGCACTGGATGAATTCATGGAGACTTCTAAGCAAAGTGTGTGATTGCTTTTCTCAGCTCTTCCAGGCACCCCATGTCTTCTGTTCCAGAGGAC